CGGTAGCGTGGCACGTTAAAAATAGAATTTCGCCGCTGGGTCACTATATGCCATCTTTATGCACACATATACAAATTTATGATCATTCATCGTAATGGCATGATCTTTATTCTTTCCGTACAACACCATTAAATTGTCATTTTCTTAAAATCTAATGCTCTTCAGTAAGGCATCTGATTAATTCTAGCCTATTGACATGTGTCGGGAATGAAGATGTGAGTCGTGCCAACATTAAGTATTGCTATCTAAACTCTTCAGATATGTTCCATGACATCATTTTAATGGAAGAGTAATTATTGAAGTCATCGTTGTCGCCTAGATCACAATGAGCCTATTTTCGTAGTGTCATTTTTCTCTGAATTTCCGACTAGACGCCGAAGTTTCTAGCTGACGATGATATTTAAGTATTACCATTAGCTTCATTTGCTGATTTGGTCTGAAGAAATTACGAATTATTTTTTTTGTCAGTTTTCGTTATCATCGTTACTATAATGACATGCAAGATTGAGTTGTAACGCAAACGTAATACGCTATTTAACGTTGTCGGCATAAAGAGATTATTTAACATTGTCATTCAATATTTTGCCACGCGTCATTACGCTTTTTCATTTGGCAATACTTAATATATGTATATTATATTTTTTTGTTAGCCCTTGTCTGATATACAGTGTGATTATATTGAAGTCTGTACCATGAAGTTGTATTTGAAATGAAGATACTGGGGCTCTTTTCCATCCGCGGTGGCTGTCTGGTGTTTAAGCACTAACAGTGCTCACTAAGAAGCACGAACAATCGGTTACTATTGAACACATGTTAGTTTATCAGCAACTCATATCAAATACAGTCATTTCGTCTTCAAAATACGTCAGAATTCACTAATGTCGCCATAACGCCATCTTCAGTTTTTTGGCTGTCGCAGCGCCTCTCAAGTATCTTTTGTTCAAATTGAAACCTGCATGAGCAAAGTGGTGCTCTTCAACATTTGAAAACGGGGACTTAAATTCTCGCAACATTAATGAAGTTTCAGATTGACACATACCATGCAGGCTCCTGTGTAATTCTTGTAATGTTTCCTCTGTACAAAGCCACATCGTTTCTGCTGCAAAGCATTACAAAACACCAATTAAACAGTTATTATAATCTCTCGAATTTCTTCAAGACTGTTGCGCGATACCTGCTAATATCCGTTATAATGGGAACTATCCACCTCATTTATTCAGCAAGATGCCAAATGGTGCAACGAATGCTTGAAACCGCGCGCTTAGTCGATAGCCGATAAAAATCGGCATCAACAGAGCGTGCATAAAAGGCAATAGCTACTCAAAGTTATTGTTGTGCCTGAAATAAGAAAGGAAACGATAAAATATATGGGGTCAGTGTTATTTTAATATTTTTAGCAGACGAAATGTTTATTGGTGATTGCAGTCATATTTGACTGATGCATGGATTTTTTTGCTGCTGCTGGTAGATAATGGAGATAAAATATTTTTTCGTGACGTCAGAATTCGGAGTACCTCAAAGGTTCGATTCAGTTCCTTGATGGCGGGGAGAGGAGGGGGAGCCCGTAGCAGATCCAATGAGTATTCGTTGCTTATTTTCAAATTTTTGTGCGCTTGTGCTGTAATGATGATATAATAATTGAAGAAGAAAGACGAATTCTTGTTATGTTTTAAATATACTTGTTTATTTCGTTTATAGCGGTATTAGTACTACCTTTCAATTTTATTATAATATGAGACTGTTGAAACCTCATCTGCAGCAGTTAAACCAGTCATCTGTGTTACTTTATTCAAATTTGTTGATATTTGCTGCAATGATGATAGAATTGGTAGGAATTGAAGCAAAATAAGAATGACTTGTGTTTCAAATATATATATATATATTTTATTCAATTTGTATAAGTGCCCCATAAGCTTAACCAAGTCACCTAGAGCTGTACTATCAGACAGTTGTCCTCCTTGCCGAAATATTAAGCTCATTGAGAAATCTGTTCTTGACTTGTACCCTTCAAAATTCTTTTTTAAGTGATTTTTGTAACATATGCAGTACATTAAGCCTCTGTAGATATCATTATTTCAACTTAACTCATGATTACGGTATTAAGACAAGTATTAATGTCGTCTAGTTCAAGTCAAATGGATGTTATTTAAAGACCCTTATAGTGCCTCTTGTAAACAACGAATAGTTCACGTAGAGATAGATTTGGTAGATTTTTGCATTGAGCAGAAAGGCATTGAAGAGGAGCTTGTGCTACCCGTACGTACTGTTTTAATGAAATTCTCACAAATTCGCCGCAATTACAGCTCTAATGGGATGAAAGAATGATATAAATTAAGAAATATATGAGTTTTATTACAATTTTGGCTCATCTCAAAACTTTCACTACATTTATTTTTTGAACATGTGGGAATGGCAACGAAAGTTTAAAGCCCAGCCTTACGATAAGCAGAGGTCGGAACAACAGAGCGCGCATAGAAGGCAATAAACTCAATTTCAAGCTGTACGGGTTTTCATTTCAAGACAGTTATTGCCGTGTCTCGAAATATGAAGCTGCGAAACGATAAACCATCCACTCTGTTATAAATACGTTATTTTACATGACGAAACGTTTGCTGGGATTGCAATATTTACGACTCAATGGAATTTACAGCTGTTGTTGTTGGAAAATACGATAATGGAGATGTTAGTTTTTCTTTTATGACGTCAGAATTCGAAGTGCTTCAAGCGCCTGATGGGGGAGATGTACCTGCACGCATCTGCCATTCGCTCTGTTGATAGTTTGCTGTAGATATTGATGGACTTAAATTGAAGCAGAGTTTATTTGTGCTCTTATCATATAAGTATTTTCATTCTCAGCCTGTGGAGTAAGTGGCCTTAAAAAGCTTCAACTATCGACTTGTATTATATTATTAAACAGTTAGAATCCTTCTTTAAGTATTGATTCTTAATAGTAGTTCTTGAAATAAATTCTGAAAACTTAAGTGAGCTTCCTATTGCTGCATTCAATATTTCAACATAGGGCTTCCTTGTGATATGAATCATTATTTTAATTTAAATGAAGCATTTTTCATAGTCCATAGTTACAAAAGGAATTTTTAAAAGATTTTCTTTTATGATTTTTTCTTACCCACACTTATTGTTGCTCTTTTCCTAGATTTGATTAGTTCTATATTTCTTTTGTATATGTTCGAGAATCACTATGATATATACATATGGGCCATTAGTACCATTGGGCCAACCAGCTAGACTCGCTGTCATCCGATACAAATTCTCGTTATGTTATCATAAAAAAATTCTTTTTGTTTTTTTATTTTGTTGACCGTGGCAGCAGAATAAGAGGGAACGAGCAATATAATAGAAAACGTGAATTCAATGCAATTGATCCATGCACAAAGAATGCTCAACAGTAGTGCTGGGTAGAGGATCAATAGCTTTCCAGCAGTTCAAGATATAAGCACTTTTTCACACCATGTGGACTCTGTCACACAATCTGTAATTAAATAGGTTTTTATTCAATATATTTTACTTATTAATGAACCGTAGATATTACCCAAGATTCAAGCCACATTAAGTGCTTTTGGGGCCCTCACTGAGTGCCTGCTTTTGGTAGTGTTGGCCAGTTTGTAGTGGGACGTTTCGAAAATGTAAGGTACTTTGAATCTGTGGTTGCCCAAAATCCTTCATCCGTGCACTGGGTTTTCGTGTTTGTCGTACTAATTTAATCTCTGGTTTTAAGTCTGCATGTACCAGGCGCCACAGGCACGGGTCCGGCCTCCTGCGGTGCCATGGATTGTTTGTGGTGGTGCCTCGAAACTTGGCCGTAGGTCCTGTCTCCTATGACTGTAAACAGCAGAAGTCACATGGTGTTCAGAACTCAGCTCTCCATGGGATTAACAATATCAACATCAGAACATTTGAGCCAAATATTAAACAACACAAAGACAGCAATGTTGAAGATTATATACTTACTGTGGTCATTTCATCAATGATTTGAGAAGATACACGTGGGAAAATATGGGTGCCATAAATAAGTTGTAGAATGCAGAGAGCCATGGATTGCAATGAATGGTCCGTGCACAGCATGCAGTGCAATATGAAATCAAGTTGTAATGAAGAGCTTCATTAAATGGCTAACAATGACGTCCACGAGGAAAATGTCCCTATCAGCTATAACTTTCAATCCTCGAGAAGGAGATGACAGTTGTTGAAGTAAGATCTCTTTATTTTTCAATAGGAGCAAAGGAAGAAAATGGACAAAACATGTAGATAGCGATGCTGTTACTTCTTGTCCAATTGGTGCTGGCCAGCCACGAGCCGGCCATGAGCTGAAGTAACAGATACACTCGTAGGGAAGTCTGACTTTAGCCTGCAGCAGTCAGGAGATCAGACCTGGCTGAAGCAGTGGATTCCGAACCACTACAACATCCATGGGCACTGGGCCGGAGCTGAACCTGAATCGGAGTACCTAGCACAGAGTTCTGGCCATTGTGTCCCGCCTCTGTGATCACCACGGCACGCGGTGCCCCAGGTGGTCACCCACCAGTACGCCGGCTCGCGTGCTGACCCCCGGTGATCTAACGAGAACCAGCTGGCGGTCGGCCGCCGACGTAGACGGGGCGACAAAGAAAGAAAAGAAATGTTTTCAACAGCACGGAATGGAATGGAAGAAATATTATATGACAAATATAGCCGTATTGAAAGGCCTGACCGAAACATCATACTACGTGTCGCTGGAACCCACACCCACGGATAGTCGTCATTTTCGCGCAGCCCTCCGGGCCATTACAAGCCTGATGTGGAGGAACTACGCGAAAAATGACGATATCCGTGGAATGGGTTAGCAGGCTTTTTCGCTTTAAATCCACGTAAGGTATGAGGGATGTTTCGGTCAGGCCCTTTTCAATACAACTATATTTGTCATATAATATTTTTTTCCATTCCATTCCATTCTTTATTGGAAAACATTTCTTTCTTTTTAACTTTTACATGTATCTACGTCAACGGCCGTGCCATGCAGAATATACCGGTTCTCGTTAGATCACCGAAGTCAAGCATCATTGGACGCGAGCATCCGAGAACGGTCAGTACTTGGGTGGGTGACCACCTGGGAACACCGCGTGCCGTAGGGCATTCACAAATTTGGGACCTGAATGGCCGAGTGTCTAGCGCTCTGGTGCTAGGTGCCACAGGTTCCGGGTTCGAGTCCCGGCAGTGCCATGGATGTTTGTAGTGGTTCGGAATCCACTTTAAGCCGTAGGTCCCGGTCTCCCTTGACTGTAAGAGCGTCACGAGATAAAGTCAGACTTCTACCTACGGGTGCTCCATCACAACAGAGGCTGCTTCCTTCCCCTTCAATCATGAGTACGTATCGGCTCGTGGGCTTGGCCAGCCAAGTGGGATAAGAAACAACAACAACATGTATCTACATGTTTTGTCCATTTTTTCTTCCTTTGCTCCTTTAATGAAAATAAGATATCTTATTTCAACAACTATTTAGATCATCTCCTTCTCAATATGTAGTGCATAAAGAGATGACATCAAGCAATCATTGCAGTTAAGGAAAGTTATAGCTCTTATTAAGGAACATTTGTTGTTTTTCTTCGTGGGGAGGCAATCATTTTGACATTCATTTAATAAAGCTCTTCATTTTCAACTTGATTTCATACTACATACGTGCTGTTAACTTTTGCGGATCATTTGTGCTCTATCATTTTTAAATCAAGATTATTGTCTCTGCATTCTGATTTTCCTAACTATTTGTGAATTACAATTAAATTTTCCACAATATTGTCTTCTCATACCATTGATGAAATGATTACAGTAGGAGTATATAATATTGAAATATTTATTTTCAGCTTTCTAAATTTTGCTGTCTTTATTGTTTGTTTAATGAAAACTAACCAAAGTATTACTGTTGTTGTTGTTGTTGTCGTCCCTCATGGAAGGAGGGAGAAGGGGTGCAGCTTCTGTTCTGATGGAGCACCCGTAGGTAGAAGTCTGACTTCTGCTCCGTGCAGTTCTTACAGTCATAGGAGACCGGGACCTACGACTTAAAGTGGATTACGAACCACTACAAACATCCATGGCACCGCTGGGACTCGAACCCGAAAACGGCACCGAGCGCCAGCTTCAAACCAGAAATTAAATTAAATACGACAATCACTTCGGCCATTCAATAGTTTTTCACAGATTCTAAAAAAGTATTACATTTTTAATGATAAGAACCCAAAACCTTGGCACCGAGCGGAGGTAACACTCGGTCATTCAGGCCCCAAGTATTATATGATAAGTTTGTAATAAAGTAAAATATATTGAATAAAAAATATATTGAATTATTTGAATTTTTTAATTATTATTTGACAGAATCCACATAGTTTATTGAAAAAGTGCTTATATCTTGAACTATAAGGCTATTGGTCCTCTACTAACATTCTGAGCCTCTGTTGAGCGATTCTTTAATGAAAACTTTTATGGATCAATTACGTTGAATTCTTTTTTTTTTGTTTTCTATTTATGTGCTCGTTCCCTCTTTATTGTTCTGTACCACGGTCAATAAAAATAAAAACAAAAACTATTTTTATTGTATAACGAGGGGTACATGTAGTATCCCGTTCTGGCTTTTATTGAGGTCTAAAAGTTTGTCATATCTTTTTCCATTTTAATTCCACTGAAGACACTAAATGAAAGCTTTTATATGTATATATCATAATGATTCTCGAACGTATACAAAAAAGAAATATAAATTTAATCAAATCTAGGAAAAAGAGCAACAATGCATAATGGATTAAGAAAAATCATAAAAGAAATCTTTTAAAAATTCCTTTTGTAAAGCGCAGTTTACCTATGAAAAAAACGCCTGGCACAAATTAAAATAATGATTCATATCTAAAGAGCCCTGTATTGAAATATAGAATACGTATTAAGAAATCACTTAATCAGTTTTTTCAAGAATTCATTTCAAAATTTATATTTAAGATCTTAACAATACTTAAAAGAAGGATTCTAACTGTTTAATAATATAATACAAATTCGATAGTTGAACTTTAGGCCACTTATACAAACTGAAATAAAAAAAATATATCTATTTCAAAAGAGCACAAATAAATCTTTTTTTTTTTTTCTGCTTCAATTTTAAGAATCCATCAATTCCATATCATCATTACAGAAAACATCAACAAATTTGAAATAAGTAGCAGATGCATTTGGACATCTGCTGCAGATGGGTTTATTTCCTGCCCCCATCAAGAACTGAATCGAACCTTTGAAAGTACTTCGAATACTGACGTCACTAAAGAAAACTATTTTTATCCCCATTATCGTTATTTTCAACAACAACAAAGCATAAAAAAGTCCATGCATTAGTCGTAAATATTTGCAATTCAATAAAACGTTTCGTCATGCTAGAAATATTAAAATAACGTATTTATATAACAAGAGTGGATAGTTTATCGTTCCGCCTTCATATTTCAGACGCAACAATAACTGTCTGAAAATGAAAACCGATACAGCAGAAATTGAATTTATTGCCTTCTATGCACGCTCTGTTGATTTCCGATTTTTATCTGTTTTTCGATAAGAGCTGGGCTTTAAAACTTTCGTTGCCATTCCACATGTTATAAATAAATGTGAAATTGAGTTTTGAGGATAATTATTAAAAATTGTAATAAAACTCATATATGTTTCTTAATTTATATTTCTTTTCAATACATTAAGAACTGATAATTGCAGCGAATTTGTGAAAATTTCATTAAAATAATTGCATTATTTCTTTTTGTTATTCACCAAAAAGCACCTACTTAAGAGTCTTTAAAATGATTTATCGAATGTGAAATGAATTCGACCAGATGGCATTAATATTAATCTTAATATCAGCATGACATGAGTCAAAAGTTAAAATAAAGATTCATATCTAAATGAATCTCGTATTGAAATGCTGCATACACTTTAAGAATCATTTAACAAATATTTTGAAGAATTTATTTAAAAACTTATATTTTTGGTCCTAATACTTGAACAAAAAAGGATTTTAATTGTCTGATAATATAACACAAATTCGATAGTTGAACTATATATAGGCCACTTATACAAATTCAAATAAAAAATATATTTCTTCAAATAATATATATATTTATTAGCACAAATACATCTTCAATGCCTTTTTAAAAATCTATCAATTCTATATCATCTCTACAGCAAATTTCTATTCGTTGTTTACAAGAGGCACTTACTAAAGAGTCTTTAAAATAATGTATCAAAAGCGACTTGAATTTAATTAGACGACATTAATACTAATCTTAATATCAGCATGTCATGAGTTAGAAGGTGAAATAATGATTTATATCTACAGGAGCCCAATAGTGGAATACTGCATATGTTTTAAAAATCACTTAAAAAATTTTTGAAGAATTTAAAGTCAAAAATTTATATTTAAGATCTTAATGGTAATATTTCAGCAAAGAATGATTTTTGTCTGATAGTATAATACAAATTTGATAGTTGAACTATGGATCACTTATACAAATTGAAATAAAATATATATATATATATTTCAAAAGAGCACAAATTATATTTTTTATTTGCTTCAATTTTAAGAATCTATCAATTCTATATCATCATTATAGCAAATATCAACAAATTTGAAATAAGTAGCAGATACATTTGGACAACTGCTGCAGATGGGTTTCAACAGTCTCCTATTATAATACAAATTCGAAAATTGAACGATAGGCCACTTTATAAACTGAAATAAACAATATATTTAAAAAAGAGAACAAATTCGTCTTTCTTTTTTTTTTTGCTTCAATTTAAGATCCTATCAATTCTATATCATCATTACAGCAAATAACAACAAATTTGAAATAAGCAACAGATGCATTTGGACATCTGCTGCAGATGGATTCACTCCCCTCCCCCCCCGCCATCAAGAACTGAATCGAATCTTTGAAAGTACTCCGAATTCTGACGTCACTAAAGAAAACTATTTTTATCTCCATTATCCTTATTTTCAACAGCAGCAAAAAAAAAAAAATCCATGCATCAGTCGTAAATATTTGCAATGCAATAAAACGTTTCGTCATGCTAGAAATATTAAAATAACTTATTTATATATTTTATCGTTTCCTTTTCATATTTCAGACACAACAATAACTGTTTGAAAATGAAAACCAATACAGTAGAAATTGAATTTATTGCCTTTTATGCACGCTCTGTTGATCTCCGATTTTTATCGGCTTATCGATAAGCGCTGGTTTTAAAACATTCGTTGCCATTTGGCATCTTATAAATAAATGAGAAATTGAGTTAAATAGTTCCCATTAATTTATAACCACGAGATTACAGCTCATTAGATAATCATGTTAATTTTAACAAGTCTTGAAATTCGAGAGATTACATGCTCTTGTTTAATTGAATTAATTTTGTAATGAAAATTTTAAGCTTAAGGATATATAATGCTGTGATGTGACTTTTTATTACAAGAGGAAACTTATTCTAAAGAATGCAAATTTATACATGAATAACTTTGTCAGTCAGACTTCATTAATGTTACTGAAATTTAGGTCCCGTTTTCAAAATGTTATAAAAGAGCACCACTTCATCGCATTGAGTTTCAATTTGAACAAAAGATACTTGAAGAAGGGGGAAACACTACGACATGATAAAAACGTTCCAAAGTGTATTAATAGATGGCGCTGTAAGCGACATTAATAAAAGTGAATTCTGTTGCGAGGGATATTTTTGAACAGAAATGACAACGTATTTGATATGAGTTGCACATTAAACCAACTGTAATGTTCAATGCTCGATTGTTTCGGGATTTCTATGAAAAATGACTTCTTTCAACTTGTGACACTGTTAGTGGAAAGCCTAAACACCAAGGCAAAGTTCATACCAAATTGGATGGAAAAATCTGTGAAATTTCTTTACATGCTATATTGTGTGCCCCTTCAAAGTATCTTCATTTCAAATTTTAACTCATTTTGACGAGTGGTTTTTTTTTTACAGCATTTTGAAAGTGGGACTTTTAAATATAATCACACTGTATATCAGACAAAGTTTAAAAAAAAAATATAATATACGTATGATAAGTATTACCGTGAAAAAAGCACGTGTGCTTAATTAGCGTGTA